TCTGTTCTGTTGTTTCGGTCTTAGTTCTCCTCGCTCCTCAGCTTCTGAGGATTCTAATGATATATCCTCTAGTGTAGAGTCTTTCCTCAGCCATGTTCAGTCTACTTGTAAGCCCGCCAAGGCATTCTTCATTGGTGTTACAGTGTTTTTCTCTTACCTCCAGCCTCTCTTTTTGTTTCTTTCTTGGGATTCCCATCTCTCTGTTTACATTGTCCCTCTGTTCTTGTATGCTGTCTACTTTGTCATTTAGAGCCCTTACCACATGACTCATAGTTGTTTTAAATTCCCCATCGGATAATTCCAAATCCTTGTCACATCTGGTTTGGATGGGTACTCTACTCTGTCTCTTCAAACTGTTCTTTCCCTTTTCGTATACTGTTTAATTTTTCTTGATGGCTGGACATGATGTACAGAGTAAAAGAAACTGCTATAAATAGGCCTGTAGTAATTTGGTGATGAGGTGCAGGGGTACAGGAAGCATTCCACAGTCCTATGATGAGGTCTGAGTCATTCAGGGAGCCTGTGCCTCTGGATCAATACTGCTCAGTCATCTTTCTCCCCCACAAGGTAGGACGGGATGGTTAGAGCGAGCTGGAGTTGGGTGTCTCTCTTACCCAGGTCAGTTAGGCTCTGGTAATAACCCAGCAGGTAGGTTCTGGTTAACTAGTTTCTCCTGAGGGCAAGCCTTGTTAAGAAGAACAGTATATTCTGACATATTCCTAAATGGTTCCCTTTTTACCTCCCCTACTGGAAGCCTGAGGATACTTTTCTCCTCTATTTCATATGGGAATATGGTCCAGCTCCTGCAGGTGAATTTCACAATATTTCCTGGTACGCCCCTCCCACCCCCACGACTACGTTCCTCTGAAGCTTTTACTCTCCGAGTTGCCCACACTGAGCCGCCAACCATTCATCAGTCACGGGTCAGGTTTCCGAGCCCGGAAGTGGTTCCAGCAGTGGTTTCTGCCCAGTCTCTGACCTGGGTAAGCAGCGACTCCCTGTATTCGCCTGTTCTCCAGTCTTCGGGTAGCAGTGTGCCCTGCGTTCTCCCCCTTCTTATGCAACCAGAATGAACTGTGGATTTTCCAGTCTGCTCAGCTTTTTACTTTTTAGCACAGAGTAGCAACTTCCAAGATCCTTACATGTGAAACCTGAAACTCAGTATCAGGTTCAGAGTTTTGTGAGTTTGCTTGTTCCTCTATAATTTGATTTCTTAAAAAACTAAGAGATGTTAAAAATAGCTGATGGTGCCTCACCGACCCAAAGGCAATGTCACTGCCGGTCTAGTGCGGCAGCGACGGCTGAGAGAAAACACGAGTGCTGACGTGTGTGCTTTGGTCACAGCAATTGCGTCCGACTTGTTTTCATCCCTCAGGCCGGACGGCTTTCTGCTGCGTGTCTCGTGTTCCAGCTCCCTGCCGGGAGCAGCAGGGCCTGCACCGGTGACCTCCAATTACCAGCCCGCAGCCTGCTCCTTTTCCACGTCCTAGACTGCGCTCTCCTATTTCAGCCCGGTTCCTGCTGCCCAGAGAGGGGCAGGAACAGCAGAGCAGAATTACAAGATTTCTGGATGGAAGATAACATGCTCACCTTGAAAGTGACTTTTTAAAAATAATGCCACATAAACGGATTATCTTCCAAAGAGTACAGTATGAAAAGGGAAGGGAAGAAAAGAGTAACTTTACAGTAGAGAAGTCTAACAAACACCATCTCCAGCCAGGTGATCAAGTTTAATACCCTATTCAGCCATGATGGTACCATATACTTTTGATATATGATGAGAATGGCACTTTACATCTGTGGTCTTCCTCCCCAAACCCAGGACCTCCGTCTAACCATGAGGGGAAAAAAACAGACAAATCCTAATTGAGGGACATTCTACAAAATAACTGTCCACTACTGCTCAAAACTGCCAAAGCCATAAAGAACAAGGGAAGTCTGAGAAACTGTCACAACCAAGAGGACCTAAGGGGACATGATGACTAAATGTCTGTGGTGTCCTGGAGGAGATGCTGGGACAGAAAGGGCAGTACGTAAAACCTGAAGAAATGTGAATAAAGTACGGACTTTATTCAACAATAATGCATCCACCTTGGATTATTAATTGTGACAAATGTACCCTGTAATGTAAATGATATTGATAGGGAAAAGCAATAAGGGGTATATAGATACTCTCTGCTATCTTCACAGTCATTCTAAAAGTCTGAAACTGTTCCAAAATAAAAAGGATATTTTTATATTAATCTCAATTAAGTTTTTTATATCACATAAACAGTCAACAACATAAACATTAAAACTTTTGGATAATATAAAAATTTGCAACTCTAACACATAGAAAAATAGCAATTAAGTAAAAATACTTGTAAATAAGACAAGAGATTAAAGTGTGTGTGTATAATGTATATGTATACGTCTCTTAAACATCATAAGTATACAAGAGAAACATTGAGAGAAACGTTAAATAGAGAGAAGACTAGCATTCATACAAAAGGAAATGCAATGTACTAAACAACAATAACCTTTTTAAAACTAAAACAATTAGGTATCATTTAAGTAGCAAAATTGTTTCAAATAACACCCAGTGATGGTGACGCGACATTTAAACCATTTCATGTACACAGTATTAGTAGCCATAGAAACTGATTTTAAAAACCTCTTTTGAAAGCACTATGCACAGCATTGTGCCCTCCAAAATTTGCACTGAAGCCCTAACCCCCAAAGGGATGGTACTTGGAGACGGCCTTTGGGAGATAATCGGGTTTGGACGAGGTCCCAAGCATGGGTGGGCCCTTTGGATGGCATTAGTGCCTTTGTAAGAGATACCAGGGGGCGAGTGTGTTTTCTCCCTGTCTCTCTCCCTCTTTCCTAATATGATGCCATTTCAAATCATTACAAACCTGTATGGGTTTATAAAATGCTTATAATAAAATTAAGTGCAACCAAGAGCAAAAATCTACAATATGAGGTTAACCATGTAAGTAAATATGAACATGATGTACAGGAATCTCCTGCTCTTTGAAAGTTCACCTGACATCACTTCGCTTTTACAAAAGAACTACATTCGTACCTATTTTCACTAATGAAAAGAAAAAAGGGGATTTTCACTTTAAGAAAGGCAGAAAGCGAAAAAAGCACTCAGTGTTTATTTCGCAGACAGCCCTAACGGACAGCATGCACTCTGAGCAGACTCCTTCACGAGGAGCCACACGCAGCATCTCAGCTTCATCCCGCCATACTTTTAACTGTATCTGTGAGCATCTATGCTTTGTGGCGGACTCCGGCCGCAGAGTCCACCTGTTGTGACTGAAGAGAAAATAAATGCACAGGAGACAGCAATACTGTGGAGAAAAGGGGAACAGCACAGCTACTCTCTCAAGGGGAGAGCGTCTGTGAATGCCTTGGCCTCTCTCTCAAGAGTTGAAAGCACCTCTACCCTTGCCTAGACAGGCTTTTATTGTTTTTCTTGGGTCTAACATCAAAGAAGGATTTGTTATGTATTACATAGAATATTACTGTCTACATTTTAGGTACATTCAAGGAAATAAAAATAACATGCAGAGGGGAATGATGATGAGCTGATTAGCTCTGTCCTTGGGAAAATTCACACAGGCTTTGGAAATTACCTTGAAGATAGACAATACACATTTATTGTTTTAGACCAGGGTGATGGAGTTTTAGCAAGGGCAAGCCATAACAGTCTGTATGCATTTTCTAGGCCTGATTCCCATAGAAAAACTCAGTTTGAAGGTCTGGCTCCTGCCCACCACCTCGCTCTGTAGGTTTTCCATACAGAGCTCAGTCACATTTGCAGACCAAAACAAACCGGTCCCCTACAAGGCTTTATCTCAATTTAGTTTGCACATTCCTACTTTTACTATATATCAGTGTTATTTTAGTGTTTAGTATATTTATGTGTTATTTGATATGATTTGGTAGGTTATGTTTTAGGTCTGTTTTAAATGCTCAGATTTTTTTCCATATAAATTCAAGGTCTGTCCAGGAGAAGTCCAGCCATTGTTAATATAATGAGAATGGATTGCATGACATCGATGTGACCTGGCAGCCAAGGAGAGTGGACTGGAATGTGCATCTGTGAACAATGATGACTTCACTGCACTAGTCAGTGGAGTTGGTAGACACTGTTGAGTGAGCATGTGTACTGTGTGGCCATTGTATTCAAAATGACTGAGTGAGTAGAGCAACGAATCTGCATCAAATTTTGCATTTAGCTTGAACATTTCTCTGTGGAAACTATTCAGATGTTTAGAAGGCTGCAGCAATGGGCAACTGGTGATTGATTGGCAGCTTCATCACAACAATATGCCCACTCATTCATCATGTCTTGTGCAGTTTTTTTGCAAAACATCAAATCACCCAAGTGACTCAGTCCCCCTACAGCCCAGATTTGGTGCCCTGCAACTTCTTGTTTTTCCCAAAACTAAAATCACCTTTGAAAGGGAAGAGATTTCAAACCATCAATGAGATTCAGGAAAATACAACAGGGCAGCTGATGATGATTAGAACTATGTGGGGTGCCAAGGTGCCTACTTTGAAGAAGACTGAGGCATCATTGTCCTATGTACAGTGTTTCTTATATTTGTATCTTCTTCAGTAAATGTCTCTATTTTTCATAGTATGTGTCTGGACACTTTCTGGACAGGCCCCATAAATTAATGGTAATTACTTCTTCACGTTATGCCATTTGGCCTTACAAAAGGAGCACTACTCAACTTTCAGATAAAAGGGTTAGCTATAAACAAAATTTAATCTGCTGGAAACTTTTATTTTAGTTTAATTAATGCTGTAAGATATAATACTCAGAAATATAATCAGAAGTAACTTTAGATAGATCCTTTCTTAAGTATAACCATCTCCTAACTCTTGAATTACAGAAAAGTGGCTTCCTTCTCACAGTGGTCACTAATCTCAAAAAGACTTACATTTTATATGAGACCATCCATTTTTATTTACTACACACTTTGTATTATGTTACTACTTACACAGAGATGGTTTCCAAGGCATCTTCAAAAATGTCCTGAGGGGGAACAAAAAATACAATGAGTTTCTCCAGAATCAAGAACTCTAAAGGTAAACAAGAAAATAAGTATGTTGGTATGTGTGGGGAGGGGGAGACGTGGGGGACAGTTTTTGTGGATGCAGTTGAATCACTCAGCTCTTATAATAAAATGTCTTTCAGAGAAAGCAAGCATATAAATTTAAGTGAGGTTTATTATTTTTTTAAAATAAGACTGGTGCGCTGGTGTGGCTCAGTGGATTAAGCACCAGCCTGGGAACCAAAGGGTGGCTGATTCGATTCCCAGTCAGGGCACAAGCCTGCATTGCAGGTCAGGTCCCCAGTAGGGGGCAAGTGAGAGGCAACCACACGTTGATGTTTCTCTCCCTCTCTTTTTTCCTCCCTTTCCCTTTCTAAACATAAATAAATAAAATCTTTTTTAAAAAAATGAAAGTAAGTCTGGTAAAATACTTGGCTAGCAATCAAACTGAGGCAATCTAAAAGAGTGTGACTTCTTTAATGGAGTTTTCTTTTACTCCCCAGTTTCAATTATCCCAGATAGAGAATAAAACAAATAACAAGACTGCTCTGGCTGGTGTGGCTCAACTGGTTGGGCGTCATCCTGTAAACCAAACGGCTGCAGATTCGATTCCTGGTTGGGGCACGTGCCTGGGTTGTAAGTTCAGTCCCCAGTTTGGGAGCATGCGAAAGGCAACCAAGAGATGTTTCTCTCCATCTCTTTCTCCCTTCTTTCCCCTTCTATCTCTAAAATCAATCACGTCCTTAAGTTAAGAACAAGAATTTTTTTTAAGAAACAGGATTTATACAATTTACTCTTCTCTTTCTCCAAGTTAGCATATCTGGGCCTTTATTTCACATCTAGCTTCAATACCTTCCCAGCTAGTCTTCCTGCCACCAGCCTATCCCTCAGTTTAATCTATAAATCTGTGCCACATAGGACAGCCCTTAAGGAACATGCCAAAGGCCTGTTCGAAAGCTACAAAAGGAGAAAAGCCCAAACCCAAACACACATACACATTTATACCCACTCACAAAGGGGCACATGCACCCCACACTCATACACACTGACACTCAGACACTCAAAATCTCACACATAAACTTATAGTCACACACACTCACTCACGAATTCAAACATATGCAAAGCTCCCTCATAAATGCAAAATGCAAATCCGAGCTCCTCCTGCAGGTACCTAAGACCCACCATCGCCTGGCGGCATTGCCAGAGTACCCTTCTCTCACATCCCTCCCAGCTTCGCCACGGCCCAAACCCAAGGACTGCTCTCCCTCCTCCCCTGCTTGGCATTCTTCATTTAATTCTTCACACGACAGCCATACTCTTTTTTTCTTTCTCTTCTTTTAATAAGCTCATACTGTTACAATTGGTATATAGCTAGAACAGGAGAGCAAAGGGGGCTAGACATGAGCTTAATAAACTGGGGAACAAATAGACAAAAAAACTGTACTTGAAAAATAACTAAATAAAATTTAAAAAAAAAACAAAAACTGGGGAACATATGCCTGTTTACTTCACCAGGCAGAAGATACAGCTTTTCAAACTCCAGGGGAACACAGCATTGTGGTCTGCCAAGGGGATTAACACTCCTCCCTCCCCCGCTCCAGTACCAAGTTGCCAGGTAGGAGCAGGGGAAAGAAGGCACAAGCACAATAGAAGTCAAAATGGTGCAGCAGGGAGGTGCTGGACCAAAAAGGCCTATTGGTGTAGCCTGGGGAAAGAAGGGATTGGCCAGGAGGTAAGCCCATCCATAGCCCACAAAAGGTTGGGAAATTGATTGGTCATTTTGAGAAAGCATCTGATCCATCCCTAACCCAAGCTCCTGGTTATAATCCCAGGGGAACAAAGAACTCTCCTTCTTGTGCACCTGGTGATGAGCTCACCCTGTTCATTCAAGTGCTCTCTCACCTGGCAGCACATGACCATGTGGGTCTAACAGCTACCAGGTGCACAGCAGATGGTGTGGACTCCAAAAGGACTAAGGTTCTCTCTCTTGCCCACAGAGTAATGCACTCGCCCATGTGCTCACATGTTCTCTCTCCACAGCCATCTGGCCTTAGCTGTTACATGGCTGGCAGCCACATAGACCCCTGTACAGGAGCAGCTAGAAATAAGCTAAACTGCCTGGATGGGGACTGAGATCGCTTAGCAGCTGCCTGCGGACTCCAAAGAACTAAGCTCTAATGTGAAGCAAAAACTCTGGACACTGGCTTTTGTGTCAGCCCTGTTGAAGACATAGCTGAATTTTCCCATGGTCAGAGGAAGAGATGGGACAACAGAAACCCAGGGGCAGCTTCTATTTCCACACAAATGAACCATGCCACACCACAATCTCCCATGTGCGGGTCCTTGGAATGCTGGCCTTGTGATGCCGTGAAAGAGCCAATTTCCACCAAGAACAATACCATTCCACTGCTCTACATCTCTCAAAGAGCTTTCCCCTGCACAGAGAATACCCAAACTCCTTCCTGGAATCTAGAAAAATCGACAAGGCCCTGCCCACCTCCCCACCTACCACCCTGCTTCCTCACTCCACATCAGGCACAGGTTGGACTTTCTGTTCCCTGAACAAGGCAAACTCATCCACACCTCACCAAGTCACTCCCTCTTTCACACAGAATGCCCTCGACTCAGCTCTTCCCATGGCTGACTCATTCGCACCCTTCTGTTTTCAGCTCGGAAAGTCACCTTCTCAAGGAGACTGGCTCTGATAACCCTAATTAAAATTACTAGACTTCCGGCCAAGATGGAGGCATAGGTGGAAACACGGTACCTTCTCCCACAACCAAGTTGATGAACAACAAATATTTAAAAACCAGAACGCAACCAAAACAGACAGAAAATTAAACTGTACCGAAGTCCAACAACAACGAATTATTCATCCTGACCAGTAAGAGGGGTGGAGTCAGCAGCTGGTGGAGCAGGGTCATGCAGGAAAAAATGGCCTGACTGACCCAGGTGCGCAGGCGGCGGCTGGCAGATCCCAGGCGCAGGGTGGCAACGGGCAGACCCAGTGAGGGCGCAAGGTGGCTGACTGACCACAGTCACACATTCGTGCACAGATAAACCAGGCAAAGGAGTGAGCAGTAAGATAGACCACACGACCCAGGGCCCCAGCGCCAGGAAATAAAACCTAAAAGCACCAATTGGAAAAACTTTTGGGGTCAACGTGCCAGGAGAGGCTCCCAGGTTCACAGAGAGTTCGTTGGAGAGACCCACAGGGTCCTGGAGGGTACACAAGCCCACACACCCGGGAACCAGCACCAGAAGGGCCCAATTTGCTTGTGGGAAGCGGCAGAGGGGACAGAAATCTGAGAAAGAGAAGAACAAATGCCATTTCCCCTCTCTGACCCCACCCCCACATACAGCATCACAACCCAGCAACCTGGGTCACCCCCTCTGGTGAACACCTAAGGCTCTGCCTCTCATACTTAACAGGTACAAATAGACCAAAACATTTATGGCTCAAGAAGAAGAACAGCTCAAAGCCCCAGAGCCAATACTTCTAAGCAACAAAGAGATAGCCAACCTATCAGATGCACAGTTCAAAACAATGGTGATCAGGTTCCTCACAGAACCAGTTGATTCTAGTCACAAATTAAATGAGCAAATGAAGGCTAAACTAAGTGAAATGAAGCAAAATGCACAGGGAACCAATAGTGATGGGAAGGAAACTGGGACTAAAATCAATCAAGTGGACAAGAAGGAAGAAAGAAACAACCAAACAGAAAAGAATGAAGAAACAAGAATTCAAAAAAATGAGGAGAGGCTTAGAAACCTCCAGGACATCTTTAAATGTTCCAACATCCGAATTATAGGGGTACCAGAATGGAAAGAGGAAGAGCAAAAGTGGAAAACTTATCTGAACAAATAATAAAGGAGAACGTCTCCAATCTAGAAAAGGAAACAGACTTCCAGGAAGTCCAGGAAGCACAGAGTCCCAAAGAAGGTAGACCCAAAGAAGAACACACCAGGGCACATCACAATTACATTAGCCAAGATTAAAATAAAGGAGAGAATCTTAGAAGCAGCAAGAGATAAGGGGACAGTCACCTACAAAGGAGTTCCCATCAGACTGTCAGCAGATTTCTCAAAAGAGACCTTACAGGCAAGAAGGGGCTGAAAAGAGGTATTCCAAGTCATGAAATCCAAAGATCTACATCCAAGATTACTCTATCCAGCAAAGTTTTCATTTAGAATGGAAGGACAGATAAAGTGCTTCTCGGATAAGATCGAGTTGAAGGAATTCATCATCACCAAGCCCTCATTACAGGAAATGTTAAAGGGACTTATCTAAGAAAAAGAAGATAAGAAAGATGAACAGTGAAAGGACAGCAAACTCACAGTTATTAACAACCACACCTAAAACAAAAGCAAACTAAAAGGACAGCTAGATCAGGAGCAGAACCATAGAAATGGACATCACATGGAAGGCTAACAACAAGGGAGTGGGAGAGGGAGAAGGGGGAGAAGGTATAGAAAATAACAGCATAGATAGTAGATAGAAAATAGATGGGGGGAGCACAATAGTATAGGAAAAATAGAATCTAAAGAACTTGTGACACGTGGACATGAACTAAAGGGGGGAATGGTGGGGGAGGGGTGTGCAGGGTGGAGGGGAATGAAGAGGAAGGAATGGGACAACTGTAATGGCATAATCAATAAAACATATTTAAATAAAATTACTAAAAATAGCAGTTTACTTATAGTTTTCTATCATCTGATTTATTTCACCCATAATCTTATCATAATCTCTAATCAACTTATTGTTTATTTGGCTACAATCTCTCTCCATTAGGGCAGGTTCTTATTTACCATGTTTACAGAAAACTTGCCAGGGGTCGGCACAGAGTTGTTGTTCAATAAACGCATGTTTTTAATGAATATAAATTGAGCATGGACTGTTACAGCACTGACCATATCACCTTACTGAGAGCTACAATGTAAACGTGAGGAAACAGGGTTCCAAAACTTTCCCCTGTCTAAC